AATGTATGTATGTATGTATGTATGTATGTATGTGTTTATATAATGGCAAGAGCCTAAACAATCAAATTAAGGTGAACTATAGAAATCACTAGAGAAGGTTGTTTCGATGCTCAATTTGATCATCTCAACTTCAAGATATATGAACATGAGAAAAAATAGATTTCAAGTATCGAAAATAGTATATCTTGTAATATACGATATTTTCTTGAACACATCTTGTAATATATTATCTAGACTGTAAATTTTAAAGATTTTCAAGCGTTTATATATCTGCTTGATCTTTTTAATCTTCGAATTTATAATTAGAGATGAAAAAATATATTTCAAAACGTTAAAATGATTTTTGATACTTAAACAACATGTTTCGGCCTAATCTTTTTGGCAATATCTAATGAATCCTAACCATATTTTTAATCAACAAACCCTGGCATATATTTTTAAAATGTTTTGGACCTGAACAAGCCTCTAAGAAATTAGATAAGCAAAAATATAAAAACCTCTAAAACACAAAGACATCCATAGAAAACAATAATCTATTAAATGATGTGACACTCTACATAATGTTGAACTGCCACTCTTTAGGGACAACTCAATTAGCAAATATGATTAGATGACATAGTGACTTCCATTCATACTATGGCAAAGGTAGAGGTAACCACAAGAATACAATTTAGGAGGAGCAAATAAATTTAGGTCAAATTGAGAAGATGACGTGTAGGAAGAGGAGAGTGAACAATAAGCAGCTAAGTTTGCAATATGAATATGGCCAGGGGGCAACCTTGTTTTGCTATCTTTTAGATTACGAATGATGCATCGAGTGTCCTCTTTCCCATCTCTAGATTTTGGCTTTTTCTATTGTTAACTAAAATTTAACCGAGTTACATATTGCTTTTAGTCCCCATGCAACAGTAAATTTTAATCGAGTTACATATTTGTTTTAAGGGAAAGCTTTCTATGCTTTTTTTTAGAAGTTATATATATATTTTCCTAGCTGTCCTATATGAATGGATGGCTGACATAGATCCAATCAGTATGTCATGCTTTTGCACTTTTTTGTTTTTGATTTTTTCTACAAAATATTTTGACACCAAAATTTGAACATCCATTCCTCTCTTAAACTTACACCGGTAAATAATATAAAAAGTATTTTTGATAAAAGAAAAAAAAACAAAATACCCCTAAAATTTTAGGGGTATTTTGGTTATTTTTTATTATTTGGAAATAATTTTTAAGCGTGAAAATAATCTAATGTGTCAGATCTAGATCTAACGGTTAGTAGCTCACTTTATCTAATTTGGACGGCTGGATGGGAGGGGTATATAACTACTAGACAATAGGGGAAGTATAGAAAGTTTTCCCTTCTTTTAATTCACATGATGTTTTCAAAACCCAAATTGTTAGGGTGGATTGTCTGTTGCACTGATCCGTGTCGAATTATCAGTTAGTTTTGTGTTGATTAAGCAATTTGGAAAATATTAAGATTTTTTTTTTTTTTGATGGAGTACTTTTGCTTGTAGGATAAAAATAGGTCAAGATCCCGTCGGGTCCAAATTTTAGACCCATACCCAGACCTAGGTCGAGTCTGGGTCCATAGCCTGAATATTATTAGGGTCTGGTAGACCTAACCTAGATTATAAAGTTAAATTAAATATATTAGTTTATAATTATAATAGTTGAATAATACACACATATATATTTAATATATTTATAAAATATATTATAGTATATTTAAAAAATATATATTTTTATTTTTGGGTCGGGCCCGAGTCGCTTATAGATAATTTGGGTATAGATCTGGGTCTGGTTCCCATATTTTTTTTTTGGGTTCAAGTGTAGGTTCGCCAAAACTCGAATCTGACCTAGCTCCTTGCCAGATAGGGCCCTAAAAGATAATTAGGAATATATCATAAAGATAAAACTAAATAGAAGATGTAGTTACGAGAATTCTAAAAGGATTAGGATTATTTCAAATAAGGGTTATGGATTCATCCATAGCTACTGAGGTAAGGTGCACCTTCAATATTTATTATGGCATATAATTTTGATGTAAAGTGTTTTTAGGATTATCTCAAAATCTATTTTTATATCTAATTATAAATTTTTAAAATTTTAAAATAGTTAAAATCATGTAGATCCATAAACATATCAAAATATAAAAAATAGACGGTGTAGATAATATGTTGTGTAAAATGCACTATTTGTGAGATTAAAAACCTTTTTATTTTTCATGATCATAAAGATGATCAATCAAAAGGCTTTTCTACATTAAAAGGACTTTTTCCGATAGATTTTTGAGGTGCATACATAGTGGTTGCATCCTTAATATAAACTTTTTCCTTCGAATAAAAGATGGTGCCCTAAAAGATATTTAGTACTATATCGTTAAGATAAAGCTAAATAGAAGATCTAGCTGGACTTCAAATTTTGAAAATCTTGCAAAATATGTGCCAACTTTCTACGCTACGTGCGTTCTTCTTTCTACTTTTCTCTTTCCCTAAGTTATCTCAGACAAACAAATTTCCATTAGGAGTGCTCGTAGTTCATTTAATTTGATATATATATATATTCCCAGGGTGTGCCAGATTTATTAGCAGAGAGAGAGATTCTGAAAAGTTCGGTTTGCGGTGTGAAAATTTAAGCGAATTCTTGAGGCGAAGAGGAATTGCAGAAGAGATATGAAACATATTCCATTGCTGTTATCCAAAAGCTTCAATTTTCAGCAGGTCTTCTCCCTCCCCTTCTTGTTCTTGTCCCCTATTTCCCCTTCATGTCTAAATTTATTTATTCCCCTTCCTCTCTAAATTTGTTTGAAAGAGGACTCTGAATCCCCTTCCTCTCTAAATTTATTTGTAAGACGACTCCGAAGATCTTGCTTGAAAGTTAGTATCTTTTGATTGAAAATTCTCAAAATAAACCTAACTTCTATACAGTTCCATGAGGAAAGAGATGCAGGACGGCCCACAAATTTATTAAGAAGGTTTCTGGTTTTTGAAAGAAGCTCAATAACTTCCTTTGTGAAAGTAGCTCGATAAATTCATTGTTCGTTTGACCTTTGAAATTCTTCCGCATTAACCGAAAGGTATGAATCTCCAACTTTATCTGAGTGTTGCATTGAAAACTCTCCATAGTATAATATGAACAGGAAACAATTTTTTTGTGCTTATCATGTCAAAATATATGTCGTGCTGAATGCTTATTAAAAAATTCGTCTTTTTGCATCTTTTTTTAATGAATTTAATGGTAATTTCATGCATGTTCCAATTTGTTTTTCTTTAATTTATTTAGTCTGGTTGAATAACTCCAATCTCAGGCGGCTGCAATTTGAGTTATTTTTATTTTCTAAATAAATAACTTCAATGTTGGGTGCCAATACTTTAAATTGATTCAAAGACTATTACTAATGATGGTCCTATTGTATCTTTAGGAATCTATACTCTGTTTGAATACTTGTCCTCTCATGATGGTGACTTGACACTGCTCTAAAAGCCTAATTACCTCTGAAATTTCAAATTTTCTCGAGAATTATTGCTTTTGCAACGTGTTTTTGGGTCTCCACATATTTTGGAGGAAGCTGGGTTTGATAAGACACTGGCCTTCAATTGTGTCGAGTAAGTGAGACTCCCCTAGAAGTTGGCAGTTGTACACTTTCCATAAATCATTAGTCGTCCTCTTTCTTTTTTTTCTTTGGTGCATGTGCCCCTCATGCACATTATAGTTTATCATTGCTTTCTCTTAATCAGTTTTATTTTAACCAGTGAGCTTCTCTTTAAACTGGTCCTTCTATAGCGAAAAATTTGATGCTTCAAGCAATGGAATGCCTGCTGCCTCAACCCTTGTGCGATGTCTATCCTCTATTTAGAATTCGCTCTCTGGCCACAAGTAGTGGCCATTAGCCCATGCCCTTTCTCGATTTGTATTCATATCTTCCCAGGAGCACTCAAAGAATTTTCAAAGCTCAAACCTCGCATCGTCACCTCGCCCTTGTCTTTTTCCTCTTCAGGATTCAATGCAATAAGAGTTTTTCTAAACTCTATTTCTTACCATGCAAGAGAGATTCAATAGAGATATAAATATGGATGGATGGGTAGATGTGCATATGGTTGTGTTGTAATGCTGGCAATCTCCATTGAAGAATCTCTTGTCATTTTATATATAACGATTTATGCTTTAGATTCCATGGTATGCCCATGGTTCCTGTTAGCTCTTCCACTTGCAACATTATTTCATGAATCACCTATCTGGATCTTTTTTGTTGCAGGAAGATGCCTCGGAAAGTGAACTACAGAATTGATTATGCTGAGGACTATGACTACCATGATGATTATGACTATGATCATGATTTAGAATCTAATGGTTGGTGATAACTTCTTCTTTGGAAATGGAGTTGGCTGCATATGTTTTTGAAACTGTTATATTTTCCTCCCAACATTTACATGGTTCATTTTGTTTCGTGCATACATGTACATATGTGCTACAAAGGCGTATCTATCTGTAATGTTACTCTTACCTCTTCATATTCTTAATGTTTAATAGCATAAATATGCTGCTTCATATTTGTTAGTTATGCTTCCAAACGTGGTTTTTGCATGTCTGTTTAATTAATTTCTACTTCCCTTGCGGCCCAAATGCGTTTGTGTAAGTTGAGATGCATACTTGCTTGTCATTGAAGATGTTGTTTTGAGTTAATCTTAAAAGGTTCCGTGAATAATTTCTTCGCGGTTGTTTTTGAGCTCCCACTTTCCATATGCTGCAACTGCTCTTGATATAAGTAACTCTAAGAAGCCCAAAAGGTTACTTGGACATAGAACTAATTATTTATGGTAACTCACATTCTTTATCAGTCAAATGACATCACAGGCATCTTTCCACCATTTATCAGAGATGCACATAAAAGAAACAGCATAAAAGGGCATATAGAGAGCCACAAAATGCACCTGCCACTCCCCATAGGATCAGTACCATACAAGAGAACCATGCTATCTTCTCTCTACATGCTTTTACATCTCCTGCCAGACTTGATGTATGCTAGTTACTCTTCCAAAATTAAACTTCATGGATACTATTATAATTTTGCAAATGAAAGTAGCCAAAGCATATCAATGACAATGTTGATGAAGATTGGGGTGGCTGCCGAGTGACCTAGGTGGTGGCACTGTGCAAAAAGGGAAGGGGGGGGGGGGGGGGGTTGGAATATATTATATATTTTGATGTTTTTTGAAATATTACTCTACATTTGGCTACAAATTTTGAAAAATAACTATGTTTGGCTATAAATTTGAATATTACTCTATTATAGCCAATGGTCTAAGAGGGTGATGGCCTTAAACTTTACCTTAACCCGTCCTATGTCCGGTTAAAAGGGCCGGGTTGTGTTAGGTAGGCAGCCAACATAAAATTTTACCAAAATTTATCATGAATCCTGAACTGACAATATTTGCTTAGATTGAGGATATTGACCCTAAACAAAGCAGAATGACGGAACAAGATTCTTGTAGCCGACCCCAAATAGTCGGGATAAGGCTTGGATGATGATGACAACTCTATTATAGCCAAATAAAGAGTAATATTTTCAAATTTGCAATCAATGTTCAAAGAGGCGTAGGGACCCCCTAAGCGTTTTGGGGGATTGGCCACCTAGGTGGCTAGGCGGGCGCCCAACAACGGGGACGGGTGGACTATTAATTAAGATGAAAATTATATTATAATTATTAGTTATTAATTAATATCCATAAGATTTGGTTTTGGATATCAAATACTTACAAATTATCATTTTCATCCAAAGTTTAAGACTATTTACAAAAGCCCAATTTCATCTTCCAAATGAGAAAAAATTCAATAAATCGCAAAAAAATTCAGTCTTTTTTTTGGTAATAAAAAAGATTCAATCTTTCAACTACAAACATGTAAATATATCATAAAAGAAAAAAATTAAAAGCAAAAAAAAAATGATTCACAACATAATATGTTATAGCAAAATCAAATCAAAACCTTTATTCAAATACGATAATACTTTAAAAATATCAAAATCAAATCGATGTCGATGCAAACTTCGTCTATTAGGTCGCCAAAAGTCCTCAAGATCGACTACTGGAAGCTCCAAAAACACCCACGAACTATTGCCTTTGTTTTGGGAAAAAAAGAAAAATAGAAAATTTAGCGATCTTTCGATAAATCACAAAAGAGGGGTTTTTGGGGAGTTTCGCTCTATCTAAAAGGCACGGTTTTGGTTTCGGGGGCTTAGAATATTCCCCAAAACCCTTCCCCCTCTTTTAGGGGGGAAAAATGGTAAATTTTGAACCGTGCTGAGGGTTCTTTCCGCCATTTGATAAACTGTCACGAGGCTGTGCCTAGACGGTTGCCTAGGCGGCGCCTTGCCTGCCTAGGTGGGCGCCTAGATGCAAGACACCTAATTGTCTTGCCTAACTAGCGCCTAGGCGTTCTTGAAAATTTTCCACCTAGGCAGCTAGGCTGGCGAATTTTCGAACATTGTTTGCAATGTAAATTAGAAATATAGCCAAACATGGCTAAAAAATATATTATAAAATTTTAATTTACATTTTAATTTAGAAACATAGCTAGACATATATTCTAAGCATTAAAATAGAAAACCTTAAAAAAAAAGTACTCATAAAGTTTTATCATAAATGTAAAGCCAAACTTCAAGAATAAATATAAGAAAATGATAGAAAAGTTCTTGTGGCACAAATCAAGTTCTGGGTTTCGGGGGGGGGGGGTGGTGGCGGAAATGCCTCCCAATACAATTGAAAAGGGGGGAAAACGACAATTTTGCCCTTTCCGTGAGGCCCATTTTCGGGCTTCGCCAAAAGGGCCTTGGGTGCTTAGTTAACCGCCTAGGACCACCGTCGACCATATAGGCCCAGGGCAGGGCTGTGAGGCGTCCCAGGTGGCTGGGCAGCGGACTTTTTGAACTTAGATGAATGATATTAATGTATTGATATATTGTATTGGCCCATGGGCCTCTAGCTTTTTCGAGGTCCTTCAGTTTGGCATTGGCCATATCCGGGATACCAGTACAGAAGAGTTGTACGATTTTAAGCAAGCTGGTGACTTGTGTTTCCCCATGAACTTTGATTACTAGTCAAATTGAGCCCGCTTATAAAAAAAATGGATTCTATAGGGTGCCTTGTCTGGGCATTGAAGGTACTTTTGTTTGTTTTTTTAAATGACTTTTATTTGTTTTTTTAAATGACTTTTATTTTGTTTTTTTGAATAACTAAAAAGTAAAAGGGTTGCATCATGTTCCTTTTTAAATGAAAAAGGAATGGAGTAATATATATAGGTCAGGTGGGGCACAGAAACTTCCCAATCAAAGGGTTGTCTTATACTCCATTGTGGTTTGACTACTAACCATGTCATCTATGTTCTCAAAGCTAAGAAGTTACTTACTGTAAAGGTAGTATGTACGAGTGACCATATATATGCCAACTTCTTTATCAAATTACTTGTAAAGAAATGAGTGCATATGTCTATGATCAGGCTGCTTTCTTAGCTTGATTGTTTTTTTTTTAGGTAAATAGCTTTGATTGTTTTCCATGCTCTTAATTTGCATACTTCGGAATCTGTTGGTTTAGGAGAGGCACCTAAAGAAGACCAATCGGTTTCAAAGCCAGGGTATTGGCGTTGCGCAATTTGCACATACGACAACGACAACGATGACAATTTAACATCTTGTGATATATGTGGTGCTGTTCGCATTGCCCCAGTTGGGAATTCCTTCGAGGTGAAAGCAGGTACATGGTGAAACTGGATTATTTTATCTTGCTTGGTAGTGGTCTAATTCAACATAATCCTATTACATATCAAGTGTTATGAGTTGTCCAAGCTTTTAGTGCATCATATGGGTCCCACTTTTGAGTTATAGAGTGGAGTCTGTTTCATGCAGTTGATGACATTTGCAAAGACCCTGGAGTATCAGTATTGGCTAAGTCTCTTTTTGCGTCATTGCCTCGTGGGAAACCCAAAATGGCTATAACCATGCAGCGTCAAGGAAAATTTAGTGATTTCCAGAATGCTTTTAATATTCCCGATTCTCGACAGCATATCAACATAGGTTTGCATGTGCCATTGCAGAGAAAACATGCATTTCAAATTTTTTCTCAAATTTTCAGAAGATGATCTTGTTCTTCGTGAGAACTTGTTAATGGACACTAAACAATTTTTTTAAAAAATTTCAGTAGTTATATTGATTTACTCTTATGGAAGGATTTCTTCTATGCAAAATTTCATTTCAAAATTTCTCTGTTTTTTTATTTTTATTTCTCTGTTAACTTTAGTGTACTAATACCAGTTGTAACTGTGCTCTGTTTTTTCCAGCCCCTTTTAAGTTTGATCGTGCATCCCCAGATGATATGGTTTCTGCTGGGAAGAAATCGTATGGAAAAGACATAAAAGGTGCATTAAACCGCCATGTTTTCATTTCTAATCATATGCTTTTTGTTATTGTCCTTTGTGCTTTTGTCGGGTTTACATCTATTCTCTCTTTTAAATTGCGTTGGCCGAGAGGGTCAGCTTGGTTTTTTTTTTGGGGACAACCTTCGAGGACCGAACCCTTGATCTCTGGCTAACAAAACCTGGGATGTGCACAACTAATCTGAAGCCTAAGAGATGAAATTTTACCATATTTATTAACTAGATAAAAGCGTGAAAATTGGGCCTTTTGATGTAGGACCAAGGGCGCTTTATGAACTGGCAGAGAGAATGAAGGTCAGTGTTTTGCCTTTGCCCCTTGCCTATCTGGCATTCCCTGCACCTCTGAATAATGTGGTCCACATCATGCTTATGACTGGGCCAAAAGGACCAATTTTTTATGAGGGCAGTGGTATTATAACTTTGTTATTTCACTCTGGCCCAAAGAGACCATGAATGAGGTACAGGTTTGAGTTTATGAAATTGCCACCCTATTGCTTGTAATCTTATCATGAAAAGTCAGTAACTGCCACTAACTAGGAGGGCTTACCTAAGTGATTCACAGCCAAACTGCCAAACAAATTATTTACTCAGAATGCTTGACCTTTGGGTACCACGCACGAACTCTCTTTTAGATTAGATAAGCCAGCTAACATTGTGAGGTAGTATGGACAGTTTCAAACCAGTGATCCCCAGGCATCCATTTGAAATGGGAACTTTTTAGTCCCTCAATGCTTGCTTGTTGGATAATTTTCCCTTACTGACTTTTGCCCTATTTTAATATGAAATCACAATTTATAAAACTTTTTTTTTTTTAATGTTATATATATATATACTCTTAAGCTGTTAAACTATGATGGCAGTGATCCTTAAATTTTAGAGTTTGAACTTTATGTGAGGTACACAAATATGGGAATCATTTAGTTTAACAATGCAATTTCCGTGACCAGGAAAGTTTATCCTTGTACTGTCGTTGCTTAAGGTTGAAAAGCTAATTCTTTTAATTTTTGTTTCTGATACAACTGTTTCCTTTCTTGGATTTATATGAATTAGTGTCTGCCTTGAATTGCACTGAATTATTCAATTTGTCATATGACCTTAGTTGGATTTTTCAAACTGTCTGTAGATTCCTAACTGGATTCTAAATCTGCTTTGGTGTTTCTTTGTAGCCAAAGTTCCACAATTTCCACCATCAAAAACTTCCCCGGTCATTGCTGAGAAGGGAAAAATGAAAGCTGTATCAAATGCCAAGAAGTATGAGGCTTCATCATCTACATCAAATAAAGTTGGTCGTCTGAATTCTAATGACAGAAGTCCGATTAGTGGTTCAGGTGTTGTTGAAGAAGATAAAATACAAGCCACGACCAGTGATTTTCTCAATTTAAAGTTGAAACCAAGCATTTATAATCAGAAAAATGATGTTAATGGTAGGAAAACAGCTTCATTTGATGAGTACAAACCAGAGCCATGGATGCTTCCTGACCAGAAAGAACAAACTCTACCATTGCTGAATCTTGCAATTGTAAGCTCACCTGACTTCAATACTTCTGAGTGATTTAGATTTGTTGTTCATTCACTTCACATTTATTGTCTTTACTTTGAATAATTTTAAAACTATTGGACTTTTTTTTATCTTCTCTAAATTTGTGGCAGGTTGGCCATGTTGATTCTGGTAAATCAACACTCTCTGGGAGATTGCTTCACCTCTTGGGACGGATTTCTCCAAAAGAAATGCACAAGTATGAGAAGGAGTCTAAGCAAATGGTACACATAGATTTCCTTCTTTTTTTTTTTTAAACACTATATCACTCATAAAACAGAACTTACACTGTATATTCGTTTTGTCAATGTTCTTGCTTTGGTTGGAATTCATTCTTAAAGTGTTTTTACTGTAGGGGAAAGGCTCTTTTGCTTACGCATGGGCATTGGATGAGAGCTCTGAAGAGAGAGAAAGGGGTATAACCATGACCGTGGCGATTGCTCATTTTGAGACGAAGAAATATCATGTTGTTGTGCTTGACTCACCTGGCCACAAAGACTTCGTTCCAAACATGATATCTGGTGCCACCCAAGCAGATGCCGCTATTCTTGTTGTAGATGCAGCTCTTGGCTCCTTTGAAGCGGGGATGGATGGATATGGAGGTGGTGGGCAGACAAAGGAGCATGCCCAACTTGTTCGAAGCTTTGGTGTTGATCAGATTATTGTTGCAGTAAACAAAATGGATGCTGTGCACTACTCTGAGGAAAGGTTTAACTTTATTAGAGTGCGTCTTGGGTCATTTCTCCGTACATGTGGATTTAAGGAATCATCAATTGTATGGATACCCTTGAGTGCTATGGAGAATCAGAATTTGATAACAACTGCTTCTGAGCTTCGCTTGCTGACTTGGTGAGTTCTATTACCATTTCGATATATTGATTTGCTGATTTGTTCTTTTCTACATTAATAACCCATTGGTTTGAGATAGTCATTGGACTGCCTGAAAGTTTTGAGATGTTATATTTATGGGATACTGTACTATAATCCAAAGAATTATGTTACAATGGTATACTAATAATTAGAGTCCAGTGAAATGATGGATGGTGATAGACTGAGTCCGCCTACGGAGTTTAGTAAACTTCCCATTAGTACTTCAGAATATGTAATGCATGCCTCAATAATGCAAGCTGAAGTATGCCATCTTAAAGTGTGTTATCTTTTCCTTTATTGAAAGGGTGTGGTTTGTATAAGGTGTCAAACTTAAACAATCAAAGTAAGGCACTTCTCTAAAACTTGCTCAGAGATGCAGTTCGGGTGCCAAAAACACTTATGATGTAAGAATCTATTCTAACACATAATTATAAAATCTAAAGCTGTGAAAATTGTGTAGATCAAGCATATTTGTAAACACTCAACAATTTTGAAATGGACGGCGTAGATGTGTTACAAAGATGTTCCATTTTTATGACTTGAAATCCTGTTTTTTTTTTGCAATATACATTCATGTTCAAATGATCAATTACATCGTTTTTCAATGTCAAAATGACATTGTTGTGTGGGTTTTTGAGGTGCACCTTATTTATTATAAGGTGGACAGCTTATATAAACTTTTCCCTTATTTGAAAGCAACCTGTTATTTGAGCACTCCTTTCTGATATGCTGATCGACCTGAAATTCTTCATAAACAATGTTCCAGTTCTCTTTGGGTATTGGAAATTGTATTTCGTTACTTGCATTTTTCCCCAAATCTTCCAAGACTAATCTAGTCTGAAATCCAACTCACTAGGACACCACGATGTAGTTGGAGCAATTTGATCATTTTTTTCTCAAAAAATACCAGGAATACCATGCTGCAAATTGAGTTTCTTTGAAATATTGGACGTGGAACTTATTTCCAACACAATGGAGTTGGCCAAACTGGCCTTTATTCCTGTCATCTATGTTTCAAGCTGGTGGCCCATACATTTTATTCTCAAATGTGCATATGTACCAACTAGCTTGAGATAGGAGATTGCCAGTAAAAAAGAAAACAAAAAGCTAGAGACTTCTTTAAAGAAAAAAGGAAGAGAGGCTTGAGATAGTTCAGCATATTTGTTCTGAAAGTTATAGTTTTTACAAGGTTTTGCTTCTGCTATAAAGAACTAGATAACATTGAGATCCATAGATGACATTAAACCAAATTCTGTTTTTAACTTATGATTGCTGCATTGAAGGTACAAGGGATCAAATCTTTTGGAGGCCATAGATTCGTTCTTACCTCCTGTTAGGGAGACCTCAAAACCATTGCGAATGCCTATATGTGATGTCATGAAATCATTACTGTCATTGGGGCAAATAGCCGTTAGTGGTAAACTAGAAGCTGGAGCAATCAGAAATGGGTCAAAGGTCTCTCTCTCTCTCTCTCTCACACACACCGAAGTTACATGCATGAAAAATTGAAAACTGTCTCCTCTCTCAAATGTACATGCATGGCAACATCTCTCTCTCTCTAGCTAATGTTAATGAATGGTGGTCTTAGCCTCGCCTGTGAAGTCCAAACTTCAATTTTCAAACTGACCTGAAAGACGCTGTCATGCCAATTTTCAGGTTTTAGTGATGCCCTATGGACATATTGCAACAGTGAAATGTATTGTGAGAGATTCACGTGCTTGCAGTATTGCAAGAGCGGGGGACAATGTGGATGTGGGCTTGCAGGGCATCGATGCATCTATTGTAATGGCAAAAGGGGTTCTCTGTCACCCCGAGTACCCAGTTGCAGTAGCAGCTTCTTTGGAGTTGAAGGTGCTCATCTTGGATATCACAATGCCCATCCTAGTCGGCTCCCAGGTCAACATCACTAACATCTTTGTTTGTGTATGTGTGTGTGCAGTGTTTTATTTTTTCATCTTTTACTATGATTTTAATGGAAAGGAGAAATCGCAGGTGGAGTTTCATGTGCACCACGCAAAAGAGGCTGCAAGGGTTGTAAAGATCCTCTCTTTGATAGATCCAAAAACGGGGAAGGTCTCTAAGAAGGCACCACGATGTCTTACAGCCAGGCAAAGCGCAATGATAGAGGTAAGAAACATTCATTTGTTTGTTATTTTCTGTGTTGGTTTCTGTGCATTTGGCTTCAAGGCACAACCATGCCTTGCAGTAACAACTACCGTTGCTCTCTCTCTCTCTCTCTCTCTGTGGGCTAGTATGGGTGTGAGTACATTTGTGGCAGCTCTCTGTCGTTCATGTGTGTGTGTTGAGTTTGTTGGAGTGCTTCTCTCTCTCTCTCTGTCTCTCTCTCATGCTGCTGATGCTCATGCTTCGTCCTGTGGTTCTTCAGGTGAACTTAGAAAGAGCAGTTTGTATTGAGGAATTTTCCAAGTATAGGGCACTTGGGAGGGTGTACCTACGAGCAAACGGGAAGACGATCGCAGTAGGTGTAGTAACCCGTATAATCCATCAATGACATGGCACACGCCTTCTCTTATGGTGGGCCACTTGTAAACGCTCTTTGTAATGTGAATGTATATTATGAATTTGCACTTGCGATGCCTGATCTCCATAGCTGCTGATGAAGAATGGGTGACCTCTGGAAGAGAGGAGGCAATTTTCTCTGAAACTATATCAGATATACGATGATCCTCATGTCCATGCAACCATAGCCACCCATTTTTCGGAAATCATATCTGAAATAAGCCTTGCTTTCTAATCTGACATATGGTCTCTCTCTCCCCTCAATTTTTTTATTCTCTCTCCCCTATTATAGTTATTGTAAAAGAGAATGGTGTCTGTTGCCTCCAGTTCCCTTGAAATGGGGTAATTCCCCTCGGCTTTTGTACATGAAGTTCATGTCTTCCCGAGTAATGTATTTTTTCATGTTAGTCATTAGAACGCGCAGATATCTCCTTCCCTTTTGAAATTGCTGCAAATATTTTGAGAGATACACCTAACGCGGCAAGCCCTCCTTTTTTATGCTTTCATAAATGAGCCTTTTGCCTTGGGTGTTTAGGGTGGCAGTTTTTAAAATGATCAATAAAATATTCTTTTTCAGATTTTTTTTTCCATTTGATTGCCTTTTCTGTAATTTTTTTAAAGATTTTTGCTTTTGTGATTGTCTAGAAAAAACTTAAAACTTGGAAATTTTCTTTTTACAAAGATGAGCCGGCGGTTCGGACTCCGTCCCAAAAAACTAGGTCTTGAGCCACATAAGTACAGGGCTGAGGACAAAACCCTTTTGTCATCTTTTTCCTTCTGTTTTTTTTTTTTATTCCTTTGATCAGGCCTAAATCTCAACTCAAGCTAAAAAGTTACTTGATGTGGTCTTGGGGCATAAACTCAAGGTTTTAAAAGATATCTTCCAACCTCTTATCACTTTAAATCTATTTTTTAATTTAAACAAATGTGAAAAAGATATGTTTTTGTTTAAATCCAATTTTTTCTTACTCTTCACTTATATATTTTAAATTTCTCTTTTTCTCTTATACTCTTAGTTTTTTTTTTTTTTCTTTTTGTCTCTCTCCTCCCGTGTTTTTTCAAACACTTCTATCTCTCTCTCCTCCCGATAATTTTTCACCTTCATGGAGCTCTTCTTTTTCTAGAAGTTTGGGATGATGATTTTTAAAAAATACATATTTTTTTAGATTTGTTTGGTATAAAAAAAACACGTTTAAATCAGCTCAGGGATTAATAGATCGAGGGAGCACCAAAAAAGCCCCAGAACATCACTTTGGACATAAGCACCAGCAACCCCTTAGCTTCACTCCGAGACTCGAGAGGCAGCTCATAAGGAAAATAGTCTCATCAATATCCCCAGTTATCCTAATAAAAAAATATACGTCAAGATCACTCAACCACTCCCGAGCGAAGCTGCATATTCTCACCAGCTTAGGCTCGACAGAATAGTCATTCAAAGGTCCCATGTGAAAAGGTTTACACTTCATATGAGCTATTCTTCCAACTCCATACTCCCACTTGGCTCTTGCAATCGCCCACATTTTTTTGGGAAAATTACACAATTTTGAAGTCACCTAGGATTGAAGGCATCTCTATCTAGTGCGGACGACGCGGCAAACCCCTTTTTCTTTATGGCACCTCACACAGTGGTAGACTTTGTGGTTTCGCTCAAAGCCAAGGCATAATAAAAGCCATAATAATCCATTAAAGGAAAACCCAACTGAAACGAGCCTAGCCAAACGGACCAAGGATTAATGGACGAGGTAACCAAGAGCGACTTTGAGTCTGGATGAAGGCCGCTCGGCCATCTAAACTCTAGAATTCGTTTGTAGCAAGGACAACATAAATGACTCCAAAACACTCAGAGGGCAATGACCATCACCATCACTTTCCAAGATGTAAGTAAGCTCAAATGACGACCCTTCTTTGGATTGTAACACGAAGACCAAAGGATCGAGGGCAAAGAGGACGCCACGATTCCCAGCCCCACGATCCTAATTAGGGTTGGCTCACCTCTAAACAAATAACTAATCAACTCTGAGCTATGAGAACTTCCAAAAGATCTAAAAACATCAAATAATTCGGATCACATAATTCATTTTCCAAAATTTAGCTATATGGTTCGATTTCGGGGTTAATAAAAACCCGAAAGTTTCTCAAAACCTCTATATCGTGGTGAAAAACTATGAAGCCCACACGCATATGGTCACAAGAGGGGAAACTACCGATCACACTTGTTTTTAAAAATGTCGGCTATCTTTAAAACTTTAATGTTTTAAATTTTTCAGTCTCTTCAAATTTTTAAACTCCATTTCAAGGATAGTCACGATTTGTATTTTTTTTTTAAAAAATGTGTGTTTGTGTTTTCAAAAACTTTAATTCGTTAAAATCATAAAATGGCGCTAGTCTCTATTTCCAAAACATCTCCCCCTTACAATATTTCTTCAAAATATTTTCAAAAATAAAAGAGTTGTATTAGCCTCCTGCAATGATGAATATGTTGGGTCCTGTAGAATGAAATGATCAAACCCTTTGTCCAAAGGAGGACTGAGCTAGAGAATGCTCGAAACATCAAGCGCATCTGAGATAAGGATAAAGGGGCCAAAGCAAGCAAGCAAACCTCTTAACCAAACATCGAAAACTTCCAATCTTGAATGCTGACCCTTGAAACTCTAGACCTCAACCTCTGAGGATTCATTATTCATGTCCATGTGGAAGTGCTACAATAAATTAGGCGGAGTTAATACTCTTTTATAAGGATTGAAGCTTTTATAGGAAAGGCACAATGCAGGACTCTGCTATGAGGAATCTACCTAGTGAAGGGAGATTCTCTCAAGGTTGTCAACTGGTACAATAAAAAGTACAGAATACTTTGGGCCTTGAAATCCATTTTGAACTATACAACTGTGTGGAGGAGGTGTCTTTTACACATGTATACAGAAAAGCCAATGTGGTGGCAAACAACCTAAGTAAGCATGTTATTTCATTACAGGCGCTGCTTGTCTCAAACCTATTGATTCCTTGATCTCATTGTAAACACATTTCATCAACAAAATTTGGTAGTAAAAAAGAGAGAGAGAAAGAAAGAAAGATGATCGACCAAAAAAACATCAAAGAGAAAAAAATAAAATAAGAGATCCTCTATAAAGGAACCATTTACGTTTTGTACAAAGAGATCACAATCGTTCTTTTTCTTTAGATTTCAAAATAGGCGGTTGTAAGAGAGTTATTGATTCGACACAAAGTTCCAAAAAAAATTATTGGACTTCGTGACTCAACCCAAGCCACCCAATTTAACATCTAATGAATGGGAATAGTTGTGATCTCCTTGTACAAAAGATAAATTGTCTTTTTGTAGACAATCCCATAAAATAATAATAACAAGTATAATCTGTAGGGGAAAGCTTTCTATGTTTCCCCTACAACATATAAGTTCTATCCTACCCCTTATCCAACTGTCCATTTTTTAATGGAGGGCTAAGATTGCCTCAATCACAATGTCATGTCTCTATATTATTTCTTTTCTTTTTTTTTTTCTATAAACTATTTTGATACCAAAATTTGGACGTCCATTCCCTCTATTAAACGCGCACTAATAAAAAAATATAAAAACATATTTTCAATAAAATAAAAATGACCAAAATACCCCTGAAAGTTTCAAGGGGTATTTTTTAGTTATTATTTTTTTATCG